AGTGTTTTGCGGCCCTGGGCATGCTCCATCCTCGCTGAAGTGTTTATTGCTGTGCCGTGGTTTATTTTCCTAGATTTGTTATATTTCTGCAAACAGGAGGATTTCCTCAAGCTTGCCATACATGCTCCCCTCTTGTGTGTGCCTTTTTGTCTGCATAAGGACGCTCACTTGCAGAATGAGTCTGCTATTATGACATAGGATTCCAGTCACCTTTTTATTACTTCTTTGGGGGCCGGGGACTTGGTAAAATAAGAAACAAAACTCTAAAGTGTTCAATGGCTAGGCTCTCTGTGAGACTATGCTGGGATGATTCTCCGCTTGAAAAACAGCCAAGACTATAAGGCTCCATCCTTATAACAGCAGCCAATACTGCCAATATTCCATGTCAAGGATGACCACAGAAATCATTTGGGGTCACTGGCCTCAATCTCTGCAGTCCGTGTACCCTTGCTACCTATACCCCATGGACAATTATATGATGCTAAGAAGAAACAAGAAGGCCACTAGGGCCTGAGATGCATCTATATGGTAGTCTGCTGCATCCAACAGTGCAATGAATAAGTGCAATGAATAACTTTAATTTGTCAACTTCACTGAACAACAGTACAGTTGGATTAAAACACAGTCAAGTAACACCCTCCTCCACTTCTGAAAAGAGCACAAATGTTAGATGGCTTCTGTTTAGAGACAACTGTCCAGAAGAAAGGACCAAAAGACTTGTATAGGAGGTAACTTGTTAGGCAGGTAGGCAATAAATATTCATTTATTTATTTATTCAGGTCTCATTTTTACAAAAAAGACACCTGGTGGCATTCTATCTAAAGTTAGCCAGTCATATTTTTCACTGAAAGTACAGAATTAAAACTGAACCAGGGCCAGTGGCTTTGATCCAGACTTAGTCAGAAAAGTTTCACTGAAATCAGTGGGAGTTAAGTTAGTCATGATCAACAGCTCATGATTTAGAAAAGTCTACCCTGCGTATGACTAAACCTGGAACTATAAAATGTAACTGGTGAATGACTCAGTTCTGAGAATTATAACCAGGTCTAACATACCTTGATTCATAGATAATTTTAACCAAATTACTCCAAAAGGAAAAACTAAATATTGAAATGCTTTAAAAATAAATCAAATTAAAAGAAAAGAAAACTGATCAGCTTTTAAATGTAATAGTCAAAGTATTTAAGGGACATCAGATCTTGTAAGATTTGCAGGAACCAGGCAGAAATAGCACCATCATTGCAGAACAAGTTTCTTCTGAACAGAAAAATGCTGCCTTAGCCATCCTTCAGAACTGTATTTAAGAGTCAAGACCTGGAAGAAGTAGCCTGATCCTTTTCTCTTGTTAGAAACAGCTAGGTAACATTAGACTCTGGACTTAATGATGCTGGAGAACAAGATGGGTGGGGGGGGCAGTTCAGAAGGCTGTATTTAATGACTTCAGTTGTTAAGACACAACTAATATTTATTGTCTCATTCCATTTATTGCCATCCCCAGCTTTACATCTGCCTCTACATTCCTGATATGTTATGGCAAATGGATGGAAGGAAGGATGGGTGGATGACAGGAAATATATATTTGCCCATTTTGATTTTAAAAAAGGGAAAAAGAATTATTATACATATTCTTGAGTTTGCTTCTGCTGCCTTTATTCCAACCACATTTACTTGAATGGTCATGGCAGCATCCTGCTGCTTGAGACTAATGGGAATTTCTCACAAAAACACTATAAACTTAGAATTTGGCATGGGAAAAGGACCCATACTCAGTTTTCTACATTACAAAATATTGTAGACTTTAAGAAGTTAGGCAAACCTATGACACACTGAAATCAATAGTGATTAACTTTGAAAGGGTCTCACAAGTGGCTTAATTTGGATGGATTGTACTTAAAGTCTAGTTTTTGTAAAAAAAAAAAAAGAATTAACCTCAAAACTGATAAACAGTGCAGAAACACACTACTTTTGCTATATTTTTCTGAAATAATCTCTTTCTAATCCCACTCTCCCCCAGCTGTTGTGGACAGTAAGAAATTGAACAGACTTCACCACAGCACAAACAAGGCTGCTTCACATGAAAAAGGTAATATTCTGGCACTGGGTAAGATTACAAGCAGACTGTTTTTCAGGCCTGCTTTACTGTCTTGGGTGGGACATACTAGCCGGAAGGAAGCAATGGAAATGATATGCAATGCTTGCAAGCCAGAGCACTGCTCATGAGTTGAGCTCCCTGTGAACACTGTGAGATTGCAACATTTCTGGGAGCACAAACATTTTTCCTTCCTATAGCTTATAACAGGAAGCCCTTGATATCCACGCACACTGTATCTGCTAGAATTTGGAAAATGGCACAGCAGAGTTACAGTTCTCAACATATAAAAATATGAGCCAGCTTCTTGAGATACCATGAGCAGCAACTCTGGGAAGCTAATGTTCTTGCATTCTGTGACCAATAACAACAGTTTCCAATTGCTGGAAGAGTTTGGTGGAGCCCAAAGTTGTAAAACACTGCATGATCTTATGAATTCAGGGGCCTTTTGAAGTATGCTTCAAGCCCCCTTTAAAAGTGGAGATCTGGCTGTTCCTAATTATTTGAAAGAACCTTTGTCATTTCAGAGGTCAGTAAATATTTTTCACTGATATATCAGTTCCCTGCAATGTGACTATACATCAGAAAGAAAATCTATAGACATGTTTAAGAGATAGCTTAAACTGGCCTTTAAACAAATGCAAAGACTGGCTAGATATGATGGTTAAATGAAAACCTAGCAATGATTATAATAAAGACATGTCTTCAAAAACAGCATTTAGCACACTGTAGTGATTGTCCACCCTGCTGATCACATAATGGAAACACACGCTGTAAATACAGTCCCTGACGTTCAAATAGTTTTAGACCAATTCCGTAAGCCCTTTTAAAGGTGGACGGACCTCCTATTTGTATGGATGGCTTGTTTTTCAGGTTATTCCCTGCAGATAACAATATGAATATATTTTTCCCTTGGAATTGAGAAAAGGAAAATAGATGGCTGTAATAGAACTGCAGGAGCAGTCAAGCAGTAGATTGATTCAACTGGAGAATTCAATGTACCCCAACAGATTTCCTAGGATTTGATATCCTGCAGCTTCAGGCACAACTTCTTGTAATGAGAAACTGAAGGTTTTTGTCAGGTGCGTCAAGTCTTGTAGTGATGGCTTGTAGGTAAAAAGAAGTCAGACTGAAAATGTCTCTCCTCAGGAAATGCTTTTGCACCTGGTGAGTCTAAGAGTACCGTCTTCAAGGTACAAGAGAGGTCAGTGGTCCTCCCCTGGCAGTAACATTCCATCAAAGACATTTTAGCAGAATGTGCCATTTGTGTGTAGATATACCAGAGGGTAGCAAGTAATCAACGGCTGCAATAAGTAGTTTGAAAACTATGTCACGCATCACTAAGCGAACTAGGAAACAGATATTAAAATGACTGATAAAATTGTAATTGTTTTATGCTGCAATTGTTCTGAACTGTGGAACATATGGATTATTTTTGTCTTGAAGCTCAGTCTTCATGGGTTAAAGGGTAACAGAAATATAGCTGAATAGAGACAATACATAAAGGAATAAATTTAAAAGGCTAAGGTCATTGTAAGTGGATAATCCTTCCCCCTCTCAAAAAATAAAATAAAATAAAATAAAATAAAATAAAAAATGACAGTGGGTGAGATCTCCACCTTCACATGAAACTAACTCACTGTAATTACTCCGAAGGCCTGTGCAGAGGCTATCTGCAATTTTGACACAGTGGCAAAGTAATTTCATGATCAGGTGATTAATTCTGTTCATTCCCTTAGCTGCAGGGAATAACCTGAAAAATACTACTTACACAAATTCAAAAATGTTTTCCTTTTAACTATACCTACCTAAGAGTCAGTTTTGCATTAGGCACAAGGGTTGCTTTGAGCGAAATTAGTACCTTCACCTCAGCACTTTGCTAATAAAACAAAACCATTTTTTGCAGAGAAACTTCAGTTTTATAATTCTTGATTAAAGGCAGAAATAGGAAAACCAGAGAAGGCCAAAGAGTTTGGTGCTATTACTTTGTTGCTATCCTTCTGCTAGAACACTGGAACTTCCTAACATGGACAAGAGGTGGGTTGATCAGGCCCTAGCAAAGGGCCCATACCCAGCAAAGACCCAATGAGGAGAGTCCCAATGTACTGCTCCTCTTCTTCAGCAATGAAATTCACTTATTCACCTGCCTCTTGGTCTGGTCCAGAGAATGGTGGTGAGACGGAAGACCAAAGGAAGCCTCCATCCACTTGCTCACTAGCCCTCTGCTTGACAAGCGAGCAAGCAGTAGCAAAGATGAAAGCAAGAAACAAAAGTCAGTGGTGGCAAGAAGCTAAGATTAACTGAAGGAGTGGAGCTACTGGAGGTGTCTCTCCCAAGGGCCTTCAAAACATGGAGCCAGTTCTGGCTCCTGGATGATTCACAGACATTGCTAAGTTTGGACTTGACAACAAGGGCATGACAACTTGCATTTTTACCAGGATAATCATGAAAAACTGTGAAGAAGCATTGCCCGCCACTTCATAATGGTCTAGGTACATAGAAAGATTTATCATACTGAGTCAAAGACTCTGGGTCCCTCCGGCCAAGCATTGTTAGTACTGATTGGCAGTTGCTCTCCTAGCCCTATCTGGACATGCCAGAAACGGAACATGAGATCTTCTGTATGGAAAGCATGGTAGCATCAACACCAATGTTTTTGAGCTCTGAAGCAATCCCATGGCAATCAAAGAAATCAAAGAAAAAGCAATCCAGAATCAAAGAAAAAAAGTACCTATGAAAATGCAACAAGTGCTAGTATACATGCAGAGGTTTTTATTCCCCCCTCCCAAATCTATGCTAAGAACCATCGCCTCTTTTCTTGGTCCACTCCACACAGAAAGTACAGAAGGCCTTCCTCCTTCCAGGACAGTAACTAATTCTTGCAATATATTATTGTGCTTTGAAATCTTACCTGTATGGCTCCAGAGTCCTGATACCATAACTCAAAGCCTCCTCAAAAAGTCCAAGGTTTATGCAGGCATCCATGGCAAGGTCAAGTAGTTTCAGCTGGTAGATGTTCCTGTCTGGGAGAAGTGTGCTGTTGTTCTTTAGCAATGTCCGGCATACCACAAGAGCCTGCTGCCATTCTGTCATTGATTTTGGTCAAGGATTAACCCACATAGTAATAATCAAATTCACTTATTTCAGTAGCCAATGCAGTGTTGCAAGCAGAAAACATTTTTATTATTAATGTTAACAGACTCTTTTATATAGAAGGCTCTAATTTTCCCAGTAAAGTGTAGAAGTGAATTGATAATATAATTTTATTTATTTATTTAATTTCTATACTGCCCAACAGCCAAAGCTTTCTGGCTAGTTTACAACAATCTATTAAAATACAGTTTAAGATGTACCACAATACAAAAAATTATGAAAATTACCAAAAAACTCCCCATATTTAAATTACACATAAAATGTGTGAAAAGAACTGATTGAACCTGGATTAAACACTAACAAAGTTCCAACTACAACTAATTAAATGCCCTGCAACAGAAGAAAGTCTTGACTTGGTGCTGAAAACATAGTAAGGTTGACACCAGACAGGCCTCAGTGAGGGACTCATTTCATAACTAGGAGGTGTGGGGGGGAGGGCTCAAGTTGGAAAGGACTTTCTCCTTGATGAGAAACTCATCCTTCTTTGGATGTGGCAGTTGGAGGCAGGCCACAGGGTGATCACAGTGTCTGGGTAGATAGTGGCTAGGAGGGAGCATTCTATCGGGTATTGTGGTCCCAAGCCACGTGGGACTTTATAGGTCAAAACCAGCACCTTGAATTGGACTCAGAAGCAAATAGGCAGCCAGTACAAGCAGGCCAGAATTGGTCCCTGTTATTAGTCTGGCTGTCACATTTTGCACAAACTGTAACTTCTGAACTGCCTTTGATGGTAGCCCCATGTAGAGCAGTAATCTAGTTTACCAGATCACCAGAGCAAAGATTACTGATAGCAGGCCACCTCTGTCCAGATAGGAGCATAGCTAGACTACTAGCAGAAGCTGGTAGAAGGCACTCTGAGCCACTGAAGCCACCTGGGCCTCAGTGACAAAAATGGCGCAAGGAGCACCACAAGTGACAAACCTGCTCCTTCAAAGGGGGAGAATTAGGGTTAGGGTTCATTGTTGCAAGGACTGGTTTAGCACATCCACAGCCTCACCTGCTGAAGCTGAAGCAAACTGATGACAACACACTCCAAATGTCCTGATGACCTCACTCAGCAGTTTCATGTGGATTCTGAATATCACGGGGGACAAGACTGACTCCTGAGAACCCCATACTGGAGAATCCCAGGGGCAGATCAAATTTGTTTGTTTATCTTATACTATGCTATACTAGCCCAAGGGCTCTTTAAGTGGAGTGTGCTCTGTGACAGGCATTGGGCTGCTCATATGTTTGGACAGTCCCATGGGTGTCACTGAGTCCAAGAAATCTTGACTTGCCCCAGATAGTGCACCCTCAGCATGGATGTTAACATCGCCCAGGACCAGCAGCCTGGAGAACCTCAACACTGCAGCTGAGACAACCTCTGTCAGCACAGGTAGGGAGCCTGTTGGGACACAGCATGGACAGTAAGTACACTGGGGATGGGGTATGAGGCAAGACTGAGGGAACTGGGTCTCTTCAGCCTGGAGAAGAAGAGACTCAGAGGGATAAGTTGGCGACATACAGGTACGTCAGAGGATGTCACACGGAGGTGGGTAGAGACCTGTTCTCCCCTGCAGAGGAAGGCAGGACGTGTTCCAACGGAGCAAAGCTCAGGGAGCCAAGGTTCCATTTAGATGCCAGGAAGCACTTCCTGACAGTTAGGACCCCGAGGGTGTGGAATGGGCTTCCACGAGAGGTGGTTGAGGCCCCATCGGTGTGGGTGTTCAAAGATAGGCTGGACATGCACATGGTGGGCATGTCATGAGTGGAGCCGGCTGGAGCCGGGGGTCAGACTAGATGGACAGGGAGGCCCCTTCTGACTTGCTCTGTTTCTGTGTTTCTACACCAACAGAATCCCCAGTCTGTCCTACTGGCCTCGCACAAAATGCAAACACTCTAGATTAGGGGTCAGTTGAAGATGGGGCCTGGATAGAGAGAGAAAGAATCCGTACAGACCATGGCAATTTCCCTTGCCCAGCCATCCAGTCTACCTTGATGCTGTTCCAAATAGCAAGGTGCTAAGAAGAGAGCTGGGAGAGTCTAACTTCTCATATGAAGCTGACAGTAACTCAAACTAATAATAAATTCTTGGTTTTCTGAATCGTTATTTTATTAAAATAGGTGATCTCTTTCTGGTAGTCTTTTCCTGATTTAATGTCTGTACAAAATTAAAACCCAGCCCATGAATATTTAGCTGTCCCTTCTTTAATGTAACAATTCTGATGAAAGGGTTTTTTTCCAGCTCTAATTGACCAAGAAGAAGAAAATCTCCAGGCTTCACAGATAAATGGTTTTAGATTAGTGATCTATGTGACAAAAAGGCGCTATGAACCAATTATTAAACATTTAAAAATCTCCTTCAAGATGTTAGCATGCAACAGAAAAGGTCTTCATGTTCATATGAATCCAATCCATACAATAGTAAGCTGTTCAGGTCTTTATGACATTCATTTAGGAAGGTGTATTTCATAACCTGCTCAGCTGCCAGTTATAGTCCCATTTAATGTATCACTAAATATGGTAGAGAGCAGTGGAAATGTATTTTGATGGAAGAGGAAAGAGTAGATAGGGAGCTGTGGCGGGGGGTGGGGCACAGAACAGGCACACAGCACAAAAGGCTGGGAAAGAAGTGGTGATGGAAAAAGAAAGATTAAGTATTCCTACTCACTATGTACAGGTATGAATGCTGGCAGTAAAGAAGGCTGACAGAAAGAAAATTAATGTGGTTGAAACATGGTGCTGGAGAAGAGCTTTGCAAATATCTGGACTAAAAGAAAGACGAAGTGGATCCTTGATCAAACTGAACTAGAACTTGTCTTGGAAGCAAAACAATGAAACTGAGGCTCTGTTGGTACTTCAGGCACATAGTGAGAAGGCAAGACTCACTGGAAAAGATAATAATACTATGGAAAAAGGAGAAGGGGAAGACCAACTACGAGATGGATTGATTCCATAAAGGAAGCCACAGCCCTGATTTTACAAGAGCAGAACAGGGCTGTCAAGGATAGGCCATTTTGTTCATTCATAGAATTGCTATAAATTGGAGAGCACTTAACAGCACATAGCATGCTAAAAACATAACATAGTTTTGATGCACCTGTTGTAAAGCACACAGAGAGCTTCAGTTATTGGGTAGTATAGAAATTAAATTAACAACAACATAACCTCAAGATAAACAGATTATTTCACACTGAAAAAGAAATTAAAGATCTGAAGTAAACTGACAGTTTACTGGTTGCATAGTGAAAAGTTCTGACCATGTTTTCTCAGAAGTAAGACCCATCTGGGTTAAATGGAGTTTACTCCAAGGTCACTATGTATAGGACTGTAGTCTTACAGAGCAATATAATGGTTTATCTACTCAGATGTAAATCCTACTGAATTCAGCAGGACGCATGGTGTGGTAAGTGGGTGTTAGATTTCAGGCTAAACAGTTAAAAGATTTGCACAACTGAGGTCCATATGTGTTTGCGTGCATACATGCACAAAGTGTCTTTGTGCATTCTTTATAATCTAAATGTTTTCAAAGGTATTTACAGTGCCCAGACACAGTGTCAGGAGATAGGTTGGAGTCCTGAAGCTTCCATTCAAAGCATCTGCTGTCCCCCTCACCCTGCTGTTTTCAGGCACTTGCTGAAATAAAGGCACTGGGGCCTTATGATGTGTGTTGTATTTGATCCTCGTGAAACAGGTGACTTTTTGCCCACATGAGCATTACCTCTTGCTGCCCAGGCCCTTGAATTTTTCTGCCTGAGGCTTTTTTCTGTAATCAAATCCCCACTGCTCCCCTGTCCATATGAACACGGGTGGTTTTTAGGAAAGATGGTCTTTTAAGGACACACACACAGGGACATTAAAGCATCTGTAAATCAGTACATAAAATGTGCTTTTCTTTTGTTCTGTGGGACTGAACACAACATCACTTGGCAACTTGTTTTGCTGGACTGGAGAAAAATTGATGCTTGGTAATGAGAAAAACAGAAAGATAGAACAACAACCAGTAAAACTGATTTGTCCTCTCTGCTGCTCTTTGTATTAACCTGTACTTTAATATAATAGTGCTTTAGATAGCTGCTCCTTTTTGATTTGTATGTGGTTTTATATTGTTTGTTACTTTTAGATTGTAGATTTTACTGATGGCTGCCTTGGGCATATATATGGAAAGCTGAGGGATACATTTAACAGTTAAAATAAACAGTTCACCAGAGCACATTCTTTATATGCTCCTGGTTCAAAAAGAAGTCCGATTGCTATTGACCATTAACTTTCACATTGAAAAGATACCTTCTTGTGACTTTGGAGCACCTACTTTATTGACAGCTTCTCTGGCTTCTTTCCAAGCTTGCTCATCTCCTGCCAACATGTCAGCATCCTGTTCAGACAGAAACAAAAGCAAGAATTTCATTACAAGAGAGGAGGGTGGGAGGGGGAATGTCATGTCAAGTTGGACCATGTGTGGTTAACAACACTGAGGAGCAAAATTTGGCCTGAAACTGTAAAAGTTTAAGTTTCAATACTTTTGCCCAACATAATTTGAATGTAGTTGCCATTCTACTGAAGACAGTGGTAAAACGGTCATTGCATTTGATGCTTATAAATTATATCCTTTAAATACAGAAAGTGCAGGGGTGCAGGTTTCTCGGGTAGTTTCTCACACTACCACACTGCTAATTTGTGAGCCAGTGTGCTGTAGTGCTTTCAATATTGGTCTTGAACTCAGGAGATCTGGGTTCAAATCCCCACTCAACCATGAGATGTATTGGGTGATTTGGACCAGTCAGTGACTCTCAGCCTATCCCACCTCACAGGGCTGTTGTATGAGGATAAAATGGCAAAGAGTAAGACAACATAGGCTGCCTTACATTCCATGCAAGAGGAGAAAGGCAGGATATAAATGTAACAATAATTTGTATGGATTCTCTTACAAAATTGTCAATAAAGGGAACATCTTGTGTTAATATAGTATGTTTTTATGTGGAGGCCTTTAAAGATCTTAGTTATCCAGGGACCTGAGGAGATTGTCCAAGTGATTCTCCTTCTTTGCTGGATCTTTTTACTGTATTTTAACAGTATTTTAATCATATATTTAAGCTATTTAAAATTAAGTTTAAATTCATATGAACACTATTGTTTTCATGATATTTCAATTGCATTTTATTATTTTGTGCTTTGCATTGTTATAAACCACCCAGAGAGCTACAATTATGGGGTAGTATAGAAATGATAAAAGAAGAGGAGTGGGGAGGAAGAAGAGGAGAGATCCTGTGGTCCCTGAGAAGGTATCCCGGTGGTCATAACAAAGTGCCAATTCCACTGCTCAGGGCCACAGATCTAGCTGTGATCCGTGTGTGTGGGGGGAGGATTTCTCCCCTCTCCACAGCCCTTTGCACTGGCCAGTCATGGTGGAAACTCTGCCTTACTTACCATGTTTTAAAGACAGGAAATGCATTTTGACACTGCTGTTCCACCTGCCTTGCCTGCAGCATTTTGATGGGCAAATGAGAACCCTCCATCCAAAAAAACACAGTCTTGTAAAATATGCCAGTTATATTTCAGGGTCCACATATGACAGGACATTTGGTAACAGGAGCAACTTAAATAATCTTTGCTTATCGGCTCACTTTTCAGTAGAAACAGAGATATATCCTCAAATCAAATTTCAACTTTTTGCCCTTGCATGGTGCTGCTGAAAAAGCAACCTCACCAAACAGCATGTGGCGTTGTCCCACACTACAGCTCATGCTGAAATTCTTGGTATGCATTAATGCGTAGGTTATCAGTGATTAAGTTTCACACTCTCTGATCTTCATCGCTAACTAACAACTGGGATTTCCTGGCCACTTATCAAGTAAGCATCATCAAAGATTAAATTAGGGTATAACTGTAATCACATAATCATAAAAATCCCTGCATGGCAAAACAAAATCTATACTTACAAAGCACTTTTTGGGGGGTGTGGGGGTGGGGATCAATGTTTTGCGAAGACCTCCTGCACTGCTTCCAGGAGAAGACTGAAGATTGCATGTAATATCCAATTAATGATGGCCTCCAGGTGGGGAGGCCCAGCTAGTCATTTTTGAAAGGGTTCCGGTATATTTATTTACTGTTTACTGCATTTATATTCTCCCTTCTTTTTGCTCTTGCAGATAACCCAAGACACTTAGAGGCTCCATTTTATCTTTCCGAAAACCTGTGAGAGAGGTTAGGCTCAGAGCCAGTGATTGGCCTCAAACCTTCTAGCAAATTTCATGGCTGAGCAGAGATTTGAACCCAGATCGTCTGGGACCCATTCCTTTCAAATTGTTTTAACATTTTAAAATCCTAAAATTCCTGTCATCTTATGAATGGAAGGTAATTGAAAGTAAATCCCCGATAAGAAAAATTGTTATCTTAATTGAAAAATTTTGGTTCTGTAACTATATGCTGTGGCATGTATCTTTAGCTTCATATATTGGAACTAATTCCCTTTGAATAAACAATTCACAGGACACTTCTTAGAGTTTCATAAGCAAACATAAAATAATTAATAAAATAAAAATAAGTAACTTCCAGCCCAAGCAAACATCTGTCGATAGAGAATGAGACAGCAATGGGGAAGTGCAAAAGAGAAGGAGCAGAATAAAATAGGATTCATGTGAGAAAATGAATTTACTGGCATGTAAACTTTCCTGTGGATGGAATGTTTTTAAGTCCCCCCCCCCCCCGGAGATTTTGATGGAACATAGATACATGTGGCTTCAGATAATCATCTGGAAGCAGCTGCAAAGGAAAATGAGTGGAACCACAGAATTGAAGAGGTTAGAGATGTTCGTTATTTGCTGCCATACACTGAGAAATAAGCTAGACTGGGTAGGGGAAATGCAGCAGAGAGCAACAGCTTTAAATGTAAGGGTGAAATAAGGACAAGGAATGTATGTTTGGGGTAACCAAATCAGTAACTGCACCATTCACATATACCATTGTATTTCTTTACACTTACTCTCACAAGCAGTTGATGCATAGCATGAATGCTGTGCTCAACAATTCATCTGGGCACTATGCATCCATTTAAATCACGGAATGAGAAGTTATCATTGTTCTTTAACCATAAGAGACATGGAAACGCAGCATCCTTTTGTCATCATTGCATGTGCATATTCATGCAAGAGATGTAGTATCACACTGGCCTCAACCAGTCAACTCAGACATACTTGTTTCAACATCTGAAGCCTAATGTTCCTGGAGTTTTTCAGGGATCAAAAGGAATGTGCATAGATCCAGGGCAAAGCTTACTATTGGAATGTGTTCCCTTCCAGTGCACCCCACCAAAGTTTGTTTTATTCATGCGTGACATCTCAGAATTAGTGTGATGTAGTAGTTAGAATGCTAGACTCAGACTCAGGAGACTAGTATTTCAGTGCCTATTTGGCCATGAAGCTCACTTGTTCACTTTTGGCTTGACCCACCCTTCCTGCCTAACCTACCTCAGAGGGTTGTTTTGAACATAAAATGGAGAGGAAGATCATGCATGATGCCTTGGGCTCCTTAGAGGAAAAGCGGGATATACAGGTAACAAAGAAATGCATAAAATTTGTAAGAGATTACAATTAACCACCATCGAGCTAGAGATAGAACAAGAGTAAATTCCACAGAAAAGCTAAAATAAAAAGGTAGTGCAAACATACCCTTGGAAATATCACAGAGCCCAGCTATGTCTGTTTAAGAAGGGATTTTCTTAAAATTGCTCTGCTTGTCTTAAGAAAAATAATACTCCATGAATCATGTGAGGGATATAGCAGATATAATTCTGAAAAACATCTTCTCTTCTGCTAGCATCACAAAAATAGTTATATAAAGGAGCTTAGGGATGGCGATCCAATTTTTATATCAATTATAACTCAAGAGCACAAAAGTTAAGAAGCTTTAATCTGTATTTCTCACATGGAGAAGGAAAATTAATTACTGTATGTTCCAAATAATAGGAAATATGCACCCAGAGCCCATATTAATTCCATGTGTAGCTTTGTAGAGCTGTCTGCCCATTCATGTTCAAAGGGAAGAAAGGGAGGTGAACTCTTGTCCTACTCTAAGAGATGATTGCATCAAAATGGCCTCTAACGTCTTGGGATTCTATGACATTCCACATCAGGAAATTACAAAGAAATTCAAATTTGCAAATGTACTTACCATAAAATCAGCTATCTGATCACAATAAGTTCATCTGGAAATAATTTTGTTCAGAATGAATGCTGCTACCACTAAAGGTCACCAGTGGGACAAAAAGGCTCATGTTACAGTAGTTATGTCAGTTATGCTAATCGTACAGATCCAGACACGTTAAGCTTTGCATATAAAGTGAATGAACCAAGTTTGGCCAAGATCTAATTGTGCTGCCTTCAAAGGGCACAGCACCAATTACAGAGGACTTGTCTTGATGAAGGGTGATATAGCTAAAAGCAGAATGTGACCCATAAAATGTAAGTAATTACACTACTACAATATCATAGAGCAAGGTTTTGCATGTTAAAAAAGGGAAACTCTTTTTGCTCCAAATTTCACATTCACATTTGCTGCCTGTTGGAATACAACACTGGCCTTAACAGCTAAGGCTGCAGCCCTGTACATACCTTCCTGGGAACAGTTCCCCATTGAAATGATCAGTGCTTGTCTCTGAGCAGTCCTTTGTAAGACTGCACTCAGAAATGACCATTTTTTGATCAGTGCACAAGACCATATGGAGTGATATGGTTTCATCGTATCAACATTAAATTTTTCATTATTTACAAGATGTATATCAGTTGGGATGCATGTGACTCCTTCCATGTGCTTACAGAATGATATGTGAGGGCTGTGAGGCTCCTTAACAGAGTCCTGCCCATCATGGTTGCTTTGTACCATCTCTCCCGCCCTCCAGTGAACATCCATGCTATTTATTAAAGCAAGTATATACCATTCTTCATTAGCCATTTCTGTTGTACAAAATAAAACTGAAAAACTAACAATCAAGCATCAACATTAAAGAACGCTGGGTTAAAGAACAGCATTCTAACCAGGTGCCAAAACATTACGAGGGTTGCGTGCCGGCCATATTTCACTGCAGAATTAATTCTAAAGGCCAAGCACCACAGTGGGAAAATATTCTCTTCCTGGTTGTCGTCAGATGAACAAATGCAGGTGACAGACAACCAGGAGGCACTGATCTCAGTGAATGAGCAGGTTGGTAAGTCGGCAAGTGCAGTTCTTGAGGTTTAACAGAGGGAATTCTCCACACATACGTGCATTAAAGAGATGCTCATCAGAGAAGCATGTGGTCACTGTGATGGTCCTGGGAGGACTAGTGTGCACAGCCCCCTTCAACTTGCTCATTCGGGGCAGGTGTGGACAACATGTGTC